GAGTTATGTAGGTTCCTGGATGGTTCAATAAGCCAATCAGCTTGTCCAGACTTTTCTTTTTTCTTGCAAGTCAAACCTATCCTTCTAAGCATATTCTTGCTTCTTTAGATCTTGATATTACCACCGTATATTTTGCTCTCTCATGAGATGTTGTAAGGAATATGAGGATTTTGAGCTAGCTCTCATCAAAAGAGTTTTACGCGTCAAGCTAAAAAGTTGCAACTACCCTCTGACTTAAATCATTTTAGGATTTAAATATGGAGAACACTCTCTTTTTGTAACTAGGCCAAGATATATTGCTTTATGATCATTTAACTTCTGCAATATTCAGCATCGTTGTTTTTTCAGCGTCTTTCGATAGAATTGCCCATCTTGTCGATCGTATTATACTGATATGTCCAGTTTGTGATTCTTGTACATATTAATATTGTAGGATCGGCCCGAACGAGCAGTTCAAATATTGGCTAAGATGAAAAGGTTGAATCTTCAGCCAAATATCAGGACATATGAGTTGCTATTCTCACTGTTTGGTAATGTAAATGCACCTTATGAAGAGGGCAACATGCTGTCACAAGTGGATGTTGCTAAAAGGATAAATGCTATAGAAATGGACATGATGAGGAATGGCATTCCGCACAGTCATCTGTCGTTGAGGAATGTGGTAATGACTTCTCAACTAAGACAAATTTAGATATTGATTTATTTGAGTACTATTTTACTTCCTAAGCAAGTAGAGATGATGATCAGCCCAATATCTGCACCACTAATTGAATGTGTGATGTCTTTAGAGAGATGGTCATTAAGAGTCTTTTTTAACTTTGATGGTGAAATCTTTACGATGATTAAAAGAGATACTAAATGTCTTTAGAAAGATGGTCATTTAAGAGTCTTTCAGTTAAATTTGATGGTGAAATCTTTACGATGATTAAAAGAGATACTAATGAATGTTATCATTTTTGGTGATGGTGCATAAATTTATGTGTTCATCCTAGCTTTGTGATTCCCAAGTTCATAAACAGGCTGCAACTCGACATTGCCTCTATTAAAATGAGGACACTAGCAGATATTTCTCTGTATGTATCAAAATTATCCACAGCATACTTGTAAACTTCACTCCATATGACTTAAAAAGTGTTCCTGGTATATCAAACAAGTCAATTCTTGGTTCACCTGTCTGGAAGTGTTGAATGCTATAAGTAGTTTCATGACTTATCTGTCTGGAAGTGTTGAATGTTGTAAGTCGTCTCTGGGTTTATCTGTCTGGAAGTGTTGAATGCTGTAAGTAGTTTCATGACTTATCTGTCTGGAAGTGTTGAATGTTGTAAGTCGTCTCTGGGTTTATCTGTCTGGAAGTGTTGAATGCTGTAGTCTTATTTATGCATGCTTCATGATTCTTATAGCTGGAGGCTATCTATTGAGGAAGCAATGAGAGAAAAATGAACTTCTGCCTCCATCATGAACCACACTTTGGATGTACTAGCTCCGTCAACTTTTATTTGTCATGTTGCGTTTTTCGAAAGTCAATTTGACTAATTTTCAAAGTTAAATTAGATTATATTAATTCGACATTTTAACAAAAAAATTTAGATATTCAAAAACTATACGAAAAGTACTATAAATTGCAATTTTTTGCATATCAATATAATGAAAAAATACATCGTAAAATGTTAGTCAAAATTTTTATAGTTTGACTCTAAAAAAGGAAACCATGACAATTAAAAGTGGACAGAGGGAGTATATATCCTTACAGATTGCATATTGGACAGGAGCAACTACTCCTGGTTGCTGTTATGTGCACCTTTTGATTTGGCATAGCTAAATAACTTGCAAGGAAAGGTACACTTTGGGTCACTTTGCTAAAACAAATGTTGTCTGATGACTAAATTTAGTATGGTCTGAGTCACCGAACTAAAAATATTGGAGATGTAATAGTTTATTCAAGCTTATGTCTACTATGCTAATAGCTTTTTATTTTTATTTTATGTGCATTTCATAAAAGCATTTCTCTACTAATTTTTTGTTAAGTTTTTATTAAAATATTTCATACTATTGTCAAATATTGTATGTGTTTGTGTTTAAATATCTTTTCGATATGGTAAGCCTCACCCTCCTCCAAATCCATCTACACAGGAGACCAACAGTGTTTTTTTCACACTTTGCTCCCTTGGTGACTAGAAACCCCTCAATCTCATGGTTAAGATGGAAGACCCTTACCAGTGGGCTATCCGACTTTCCACCATTTAGATATTAGTTTATCATTTATTGAAACATGTGATGTAACATCTTAATATTTCACCAATTTAAGATTCAGTAATCAGTCAAGGTCTTCTTACTTAAGATTCGTAAAGCATTTTAAGTGCCACTTAATGTTTGAAGTAGTTTCTCTTTCCCTTATCAATACATCTAATGTCTGAAATTCAGTTAAAATCCTGAATTGTTTTATCAATAGCTCCTTAAGTTGCAATTTTTTTTTTCTACTGCAGGATTCTCTACAATTTTGTGCCCCAATATTTAAGGGGGCTTAAGGGCCAGTTATAATATTGATGCAATGCTTCAGTATAATATCCATGTCTTTTTACTCTTCTATATTTTCCAGTTGAAAGCGCTTGGAACAGAAGGGATGGTAAAGGAGCTGATTCAATATTTACGTGCTGCAGAGAATCGGTTTTCTCGTTATGACACCTATATGATAACACCTGTCTATAATACAGCTTTACACTCCCTTATTGAGGCTAAAGAGGTAATCAACCTAGGGTTCTAGTGTATAAGATCCATTTAATAGTTATATTGGTTATTTTTCATCTGCTGACTAAGTCTATTTTTTTCTTTTCAGAGTAAAGTGGCAACACAGATATTCAAATCAATGGTGTCTTCTGGTGTTACACCTGATGCTGCAACATATAATATCATGATTGACGGCTGTAGCATTGTTGGATGTTTCAGATCTGCACTTACCCTGATCTCTATGATGTTCCGCACTGGTTTCAACCCTCAAGCAGTGACTTTAACTGGCCTGTTAAAGGTATTAGTTTAGCCTTGTTAAGCTATTCTCACTAATCTGGAAGCTGGATCATTAGAAAAATAAAAAGTAAACTTGCACAAACTTAAGCCTAACCAAGCCTTCTTTATTTTGTTAAAAGGGCTTTTCATGAAGTTGACAGTATGTGTTTTCTATCACTTATTCTGCTAACTTTTAACTATTTAGAAACTTTGCCAAGAAAATCAGTCAAATGATTTAGTAAACCTTGAAACCCAAAATCACCACAAGTCCATAACTAGTTGTGCTGCAACAATTGGGTTTGGATGATACTTCATTTAGCTGGAAGGGGCTTTCTTTGGATGAAAATAATTGTCATTGGTTGGGACAGAATGCCTTGCCACAAGTATCACTTATATTGCCTTTAGTGGTACCTTGGATTTCAACTTTTGGTGAATAAAAAGTGTTGTCTTTCTTCAGGTGAATGTACTACAAGAACTGTAGATGGCTTATCCTAATTTCATGGAAGCATAGTTATTGTTCAACAATTTATCCATCCCCCCCTTCCCCTTCCGCTGTGACTATATAGATATGCAAATGGTACCCACATATATTCCAACTGAAACTGAAATCTCTTCTGCTGTAGATATTGTTGAGATCTGAGGACTTTGATGGAGCATTAGAATTGTTGAATCAAGGAATATTAGAAGGGATCCAGCTTGATGTACTTCTATATAACACCATTTTTCAAGTGGCAGCTGAGAAGGTAATTAACAAATAATTCATCCACTTCTCAAGTTAAATAATTCATTACCTTTTAACGCTTGAATAGATCAGTGCTCTTTCTAACTAGGTCATGAAATTGTGTTTCCAGGGAAGAATAGATGTCATCGAACTCATTGTTGAGCACATGCACCTCCAAGGGGTTCTCCCAGATCCATCAACATGCAGTCATGTTTTCGCTGCATATGTAGACCATGGATTCTATAACACTGCCATGGAAGCTTTGCAAGTTTTGAGTGTGCGAATGATTGTTGAGGTTGAGAAAGATACAGATGAAAAACGAACTGAACTTGAAAATCTAATTCTTGGTGAAGACTCGGAAGATGAGCCCCAGATTCTTAAGACTTTTAAAGACTCGAAAGAATATCTTACTGTTGCCTTACTGCAATTAAGATGGTGCGCCATACTTGGATATCCAGTATCTTGGTCACCTTCAGACAGTCAATGGGCCAGGAGACTTTCAAGTAATTTTGCTTCAACAAACGGTCTTCTGTGAAGGTTTCATGTTTCCACAGGTGTGTGGACTCTTTTGATCTTGCATATCACCTGGTATGTCAATTCTCAGTTCTGATACGCTAACTCGTGATATATTAATGATCGGAATGGGTTAATGAGGAAGGATATGGTCCTCATTTCAATACCAGGTTGTCATAGGTAGTCAAGTCAGAATCTTCCCCAAGTATGAAATCCTGGCAATGTTGCAGATTATGCCTTTCTGATTGTACAGCAATAGCAGCTAAAGGTTTCAGCAGAAAAAATGTTGAGAAAATTCTGATTGCAAAATAATCTAGTGTTAGTAGGATCTGACTGATCCATTCATTTTGTTGTACCAACAGGTAGTGTACATTATTGTTCAACAGCCAATAATTACCTCTTGCCAAAAATTGACTAGTCTTTTTATGCCAAAATGTTTGCTACTCTGTAGCATTAATTATTTGTCAGTTCCACACTTGCTCATATGAATTAGTTACTCAAAGAGGATATAAGGGTGTAATTCAAAGTGTGCGAACAACGACATACTTACTAGTTACTCCTACAAGCTAGAGACTCTTGTCTAACATACCCTTCATAATTGATTTAAATGTCTCCTACAATTAACATTTTACTGAGTTGAAGGGTGACACAAGATCCCGCTTTTCAATTTTGTGTTGTTTTGTATTCAAACTTGCACAGGGAAAAGTCCCAAATGCATTTTGATCACAAGTTGAAAACTAAATCAAATCTGAAATGTGAAATAACATTGGAGATCTAAGCCACAAAATTTCTCATTCCCATAAACAGAGAGGTACATTTTAGAGGGCAATGAATCAAATTAACTCACATAAGTTACATTGTGCATCAATTTATAGTACATTTCCTTTGTATGAGCGTCTTAATGATGCTCCCAAACTGAGAATAATAGGGGGAGCGGGGCTGGGAGTGAGTGAAGAAAATGCACTAAAACCAATTTCCACTGTTGTCCTCCCAGATAGTCGTACAAGCTTGATAAAATTTTACTATTGACCATCGTAAAGCTCATGAAAAATGTATGTTGCTTCAACGTTTTAATGCTTGCTATAGATTAGACACTTTCCAGAGATGCCTAAATATTTTCACCAGGAGGCAGCTCAGCGAGCTTTGGAGAAGTGCCTAGTACCCGTTCCATATCAAAGCGGACTTCAATATTCCGGATGCTATAACCAACCACCATGAGCCAATAAAGAAGTTTGGCAAGTTCTGGGGCACTTGTCTCTGTTACACTAGTCTGCATTCCATATCAAAGAAAAAGATGAGCATACAACAAACTGTTATGTCTACATTTGCATATACTTAGGTTTTGCAGGCTTTGCTATCTTATTATTAGAGACATAATTAATACGTTCGTCTTATTTCACAAAGTCTTAAAGAGAATGTTTGTTAATTAGATTTTGACACTTCTTTGTAGGATCCCATGATTTATAAGTCTCAATAGTTGATAACTAATCTGCTTTGGTCAAAATAGGCACATGGAGAGAGAAGTTTTGAACACACCCTTCATACTAGAAGATCTAAGGACACACAAGTTAATCATATTGATTAGTGAAAACTAAATATTTTTGTTTTTTAAGTGATATTTCAACATCCTTTACATGTACACAAGCCATGCCTGCCTGAATGATTTTAGAAACTTACCAGAAATGAATCATGACATGACCAGTGCAACTGATATTTCTTTTATAAAAGTGAAAGAAGCAGTATCACAAATACATACACCATAAAATAAGTTCCAATAAAAATGTTATACCTTCATTTGACTAGGATCTGAAACAGCTAAGAGACGCTTAATGAAAGAATTCATGGCGAGCACAACATCTTCTCCAGCTGTACTGGTTAGCTCCTGCAAAATGTCAGAGTAGAATAAAAATGAATAACCTTCTCCATTAAGAATTAACAATTATATATAAATAAGTACGCACTCAATTACTAGGTTATATCTTGTCTATCCATGCACTTCAAGATTTGTAAAATAGGTATTCCTCATCTATAGTGGTCATGTAAAATCAGAATACCAATACAAAAAGAAACACCATTTAAGCAATAACTACTTACGCTAAAGCATCCTGGAATGTACAAATACCCTCCCACCTACATTAACCATCTTAGAATGTTCAAATACCCTCCCCCAATTCAAGCAGCAAGCATGCTAACCTTGATATTTTGAGGCTCAAGAGTCTTTAGATATTCCAACAGCTCATTATAACCATTACCAGATTTCCTTTCCATTTGACGATTCAATTCCTCCACTTCTGCTTCAAGTAACTCGATATACTTCAACGCGTCTATTTTTTCAGGACCTGTAACATTATTCCACCTTATGACTTCTCCAGTCACCTTTTTCTGGGTACCAGATGCATAATCTGGTGAATCCTGAACAGTCAAACGAGTGATAGTTACTCCTCAGAAATATTTACTTTGTGAGAACAGGGATTCAAGTAGAAGATCTAACAATGGCAGAATGAACTTCACATATCAAGCAAACGGTACGCATCTTCAGATGAACCAAAACTAAAAAGAGGGAAAGAAAAGAAAGCAGTATTATTGTCTTTTTAAAAGAAGGGCATTTGTGCAATGGATACTTGAGACAACATGATAGCAATTGTAAGAAGTCATGAATGTAAAATCACCAGTAAGACCATGATCTCATTGAGAACATCAAGTCGATAGTATGATATAATAATTCCCAGGAACTATAGCTTCAACAGCATTTGTTTTGAGTAACTCTGCAAGTAGCAACCACTCTCAAGGATTTAACGGTCCCGAAAATAAGGTGAAAAACTGAAAGGGAAGCCTGGTTAAAGGACATGTGAAAAGTGAAAGTCGATTCTAAAACATATTCAATACCCAAAAAGTTATTCTTGACTTGATTCGCTTGAGTTTAGAACAAAATAAAAAAGGAATAAGGAATGTAATACTCTATCTTCCATCAGCATAATGGAAAAAAAGAGGTAAATACAATAAATAAGCAAAACATAGATGCAGGGACAAACTGAAAGCCTCTTATGAATAGGTTTGAAAGCTAAAAGGCTAATACAACCTTTTCCAATAATTCAGTCACAATTCTATTAGTGAAATTGTGATCTTTAAACTCAAAAGAAATTTCCTATTCCAAAACTTATATTGAAAAGTAAGAGAAACCAGAAATAGCTTTACGAACAGATTGATATCATTTTGCCTTGCATCTCTTGCATTAGCACAGCAAATTGCCTACCTAAAATAAGACAATGGATGATCTGTAGAGAGAAATGTCTTTAAACTTTCATTTTCCTGTTTTGTCTTTTTACTATTTAGTGTTAAATGTCTTTTATCTTCCAAGTGATGCTAAGAAGTTTCTACTCGATGGAAAGGCATGAGCAACTCCAAAACAACCAAGACAGGCTGAAGATAACTATCTAAACTGAAAATGCTACATTAATTGGCATAAAAAGAGTAATTCATCCAGTCCCAGGAAATGACAACAAAATCAATTAGTCGGAAATAGCACACACTAGAGAGAACTTACCTTTTCTTCCTGTGCTTCAGGAAGGGCAGCCTGTTCCAGACTTTGTTGCAGTTCTAACCGAAATTGAGCATTCCTAAACATATATCCAGTCATCAAGACACTATACATAAGCTGAGCAAGATTTTCAGCGACCTAAGTAAAAGTCAACATCACCCAAAATCATCATCAGCTCCAGAGATGACATATACGTCCTTAATCAAAGAATGTCTCATCTCATATATCACAGCTTGCAAGCATTGAGATCATAGCCACTTACCGTGGTTACAGTAATGGCGAAAAATTGTGGAGGTAATGTTCCAATCATGTTTGTCACTGTTTGGCGCATTGCCTCAACTACCTAGCACAGGTATCAATGATCAGGATATGTTTACATTAGTACCTTGAATTTCAAAGGAATTTCAAGTTGTCTAAGCTGTTTCAGTTACATGCACTAAACAACAAAAAGAAAAACTATGCCTCAATCTCAAATCAGTCAAGTTCCTCTATAACCGTTCCACTCTTATTTGCGCCAATTATGTCTGTTCTATCAACCAAAAAAGCACAAACATCTTCAAAGTACGAAACTTTATTGCTAATACCTGTTGTGGTGCTTTTTTCACAAACAACTCCATGAATTCCGGTTGTACATTTTGCACATACTCCAGTAGAATTTCCCTTCTGCTTTTGTGCTGCAATAACATTTACTAAAATTGAAATCTTTCTACCTGCTCTCCAACACTTAAGTCACAATATTGAACTAACATTTCAAAATTATATATAAACGGTAGATGAATACAACAATACAAACACTGAAAAAAAACTGAGTACCATAGAGCCATTTGGAGGTTTGGTATCGTTTTCGTTGTTATTTTGCGGTGAATCGAGGGATTGAGCTCTCAGAGTGAATTTTTGTTTGCGAAATGTTTTCTTCTGGAAGCTAATCAGAGAACAAAGCCGTCGACTTCCGGCAGACGACGAAGACGAAGAACCATATGCCTGTAACAGAAACGTTGGTTTCAACGTCAGCGAGGACATTATCAATTGTGTTTCTTTTGGATTGTTTTACGTGAATTTTGTTTCTCTTCCTCGCTAAAACCCTATTATCTCCATTAACGATAACACACGAAAAGCTTATTGGAAGGAGAAATGAATGGAAGCGTCACTGTGAGTTAGTGAGTGATGATTCTGGGCCTTTCGGGTCTTCCAGGTAGGCTTCTGATTTGTTCTTGGCCTAATAATCAGGTCCACTAGAAATGTGATACATTGGGCTTTTATCCATTCTGAAAAAATTTCGAGAGGTGATCCAAGTTATTCTAAGAGTTGTTTGGTAAGCTTAAGTTCATTGTCGGATTATTGTCATTATATCCCATGTATCAAACGACGCTTCTTCTAAGGGTTCATTTAGTACACATAGCAAGGATACCAGAATTCTTAAAATATCTCATGTAATATTTTTTTCATCTTTTATATGTGATAATTAATTCACCAAAAAACCAATATTATAGAATATATTAGGATTATTATTTTTATCTTACCAAATATCAACTAAACTATTCTTATGTGTTTATTACGAAGAAAAATATATTCCTAAAAGATAAAAGGTTTGAACTATAATTTTTTAGCCGAAATCTCTCTTTGTAGTGTCCATCAAGTTGTTTGGCTAAGTTTCTTGAATGGTACTATATATTTGATTGTTTCTTTGTGTGAATATAAGGTATTTTAGCTATAGATATATACTTTTGAGTAGGAAAGCAACAATTATTTTTTGCTTTCCTTCATTTTTGAATAAAAAAATTAGGTGAAATATTACATAATTGAAATCCTATAAGAGTATATTTTAAGAGAGGATGAGTACACATACAATTAGTTCCAAGTATATTTTGAACATATAGTTAATTCAAATATCTTTTATAAAATAAATATAAACTTATAAATATATATCTTTTTAATAATAAAAATGAGTAACATAAATTCGAAAAACCAGAGATGTTGAAGCAATAGGAAATGGAAATTAAACAAATAGAATTAAAAATAAAAATCTAAACTCTAAAATAGAATACATTTCCAAAAAGACACAAGTATTATGTGAAGTTGCCGGGAGTGTATTAGAGCTGCAGTTGAAAAGTTGCAAAATATCAACAACACTTTTAAGATCTGCAAAAAAGCTCTCTAAGCTGCGATTCAATGCAAGGAGGATCAAATGGAATCGGTTATGGCCTCAAATATCAGGTTAATCGGAAACTTTTTTTCACAATTTTCATATTTTTTTCGCTTAAACCCTAAATGATGACTGATTTAGTTCGTGATTCTGTTCAGGCACGATGTATCGCCGATGTGAAAGCTGATACGGATCACACCAGTTTCCTAACCGGAACTCTCAGCCTAAAAGAAGAAAATGAGGTACTCCATTACTTTCATCTCCGTAATTTATCGTGAATTTCCTAGTAATGCGGCATTTTACAGGTACATTTGATCCGGATTTCTTCCGCTGGCACTGAATTGCTATGCGAAGGTCTTTTTTCTCATCCTAATGAGATCTGGGACCTTGCGTCGTGCCCCTTCGATCAACGGATTTTCTCTACTGTTTTTTCTTCCGGTAAGTTTATGGTTTATTTGACTAATAAGTCTTCTTAGTTTGCTGTCTCATTTTTGTAGGATTAGAGTGAGTCGATCCGAATGCACATAATTTGTTGTTTCTTTTGTTGAATTCTTAGATGTGTTGGATTATATAGGTGGAATTTATTATCTGCACATGACAGAGTGATACTTCTCTTTGAGCTTGATCATGAGGAAATTATATATTCATTGTTTTAGAAGTTAATGTTGTCCATAGTGTGGAATGGATACAAAGGATTCATATAGTCGCAATGTCATGGTTCAGGTGTTTTGATATTTTTGATAGAAATAGTATTCATTGGTGTTTCGAGAATAGTTTAGTTCTTTTGATTTTATAGTGTTCTTTTAATCAGATCATAAGTTCAATTTATGACCTTCTCTTGTCTGTTTAAGCAAAAACTCAAGGAAGTAAAGGCATTTTAATTGCCTTACGTGAAGTTCACGAGAAGTTAGAACGGTAGTGTGGTTGGTGTTACTGATTTGATGTTTATGATGGAACTAGGTTCTATGATGATGCTCTATTCATTTGTAGGTGAAACATATGGGGCAGCAATATGGCAGATCCCTGAGTTGTATGGCCAATCGAATTCTCCACAACTAGAGAGGATTGCATCTCTTGATGCTCATAATTCGAAGATAAAGTGGTTAGTCTTTTTTGATATGGTAAACTCGAACTGCTTACCATAGCCCCTCAGTTCAAAAGATTTTAGATGCTTCTAGTATAAAATAAATATTAATGCTTAGGGGAAGAAATGCAGGATGCATTGTTGTGCAAAACTCTGCTTTTCTATTTTGGTCATCCTAAACTCTGCATGTTATTTAATCATTCCACTGGATGCGTACCTTGTAACTGCTAATGCTCAATATTGTAACATACCCAACCAGCAGCAAATTCCGATTTTTGGAAAAAAAGAAATTCCTATTAACATTTCCTTTGCTACTTAAGTATTCTTCTAATTCCCAATGCTACGTTAGCTCCTATGCTAAATAGTTGATGATATGGTCTTCAACTGTTACATTCATTGCTGATATTATTTCTAACACTACCCTTCGACAAAGCTAACCTAATTATCTCCAAAAATTGTGGAAGGCCATGATTCAGGAGTGCTCCAAATATATTCAAAAAATGCAGTCCTTTGATTTTAGATGGGAAATCTTAATACTTCAAAGTCATAATTGTTTTCTGTGTTCCGTTTCATGTTTATTCTCTTTTTTGTTTTGTTCTCCAAAATGAAGCAATTCAATGGTTATTGGTCTCAAGTAGCAATTCTACGGCATCATCAATTTTTTGCATAATATTTAAAGTACCTTGAGTTCTTTTAGATGGTGGTCAAGTAATTAAAATTCAATTGCCATAGATTACTAACAAATTGGTTTTCTAATTTGTGCTTGTGATGCTTTAATTAGTTAACATTTTATGATAGTTCCCTTATGGTTTATCATGCTTTAGAGGCTCATGCCTTTTGTCCTTAATTTTTCTATTAATTGGTGAGCCTGATGGAGTTACATATTAAATCGAATAATTACCTATTTTATTTGCTTGTACACTAAAATATATTGTAAATGGTGGGCAGCACACTTTGGTGGCCAACAGGAAGGCATGACAAGTTGGTTAGCATTGATGAACAGAATCTTTTCCTCTGGAGCTTTGATACTTCAAAGAAGAATGCACAGGTATATTCCAGAATATGGCTATACTTAGCTCTGGCCTTATAAAATGACCAACTAAAATGTTTCATCTTGATTTTATTTTAGTTTTCACTTCAGAAAAGTGCTGCTCGTGTTTGGTCTTCCAGTTTACATTTTTTTTGACCCATACATGCTTTATTGAGCAGTCATTTCTTTTATGCTACTGCAAGATGTATATCATTGTTTTGGAAAAGCAAAGGCACAGTAGACTATACTATGGTTGTGCATGAATGTTTACCTTCTTATAGTTTGAAAGTGCTGTGAACTGAACTTAGACTGTTAGGCATAGTAATACTCTTGTTAACACGTAAAGGGTAAAAGCTTATGAATCATTTGAAATGGCATATATGATGGCTAAAAGTCTACCGGTGCTCCTCATGGTTGGAGGTTTTAAATACTGAACTGTTTGATTACTTAAAGTAGATTTCTTGAAATAAACTTGTAATTTGCATCCCTTAGAGTGCTTCTGTTTCATCTAAAACCTAGATTTTGCTGGCTTGGAAATAATATTATCTTGATGATATTCTTTTGGTTAGCATATCTTCACACTCTTGTTTGAAATACAAGGTAGTCTGCAGTTTACCTTAGGCTTCTATGTGTCTCATCTTCGGGGATACCACCCTTCTTTGCTGCCAGAGAACCTCAAACATAGTTGTAAAAGTGTTGTTACTTCTGATTCGTGGGGCTAATTTTTATTCAGGTCTGCTGCAAAATTTAGGTACAATCACAAGAATCAGCAGGTGTGCTACATTCGTTAACTGGGGGCGCCTGGGATCCCCATGATTATAATGCTCTGGCACTGACAAGTGAATCATCAGTCCAACTTTGGGATCTACGGACAATGAAGTAAGTGAATATGGTAATTGATTCCCTATATTCTGTGTCATTTGTTTATGTTATTCTTTGTTCACTTGTGAATATAAGGTCAAGATAAATCATCCAAGAAAAAAAATGTAAGAAAGTACTTTGGAAGGTAAATGGCTAGTGTGGCATGGACAGTTATGTCCCTTAAGTACAAAATATACTTTGAATTTTGAAATGGGAGGCAAAAGAGAATATTTTCATGTACCTGAGATGGCTTAATCTCTAAGAGAATCCCCACCCCCACCCCCCACCCTCGACACACACACAATAAAGAACATACTCCCATCAATGTCAATGAACCCAGTGTTATAAATTTATTGATCTAAATCATAGTTTGTCATAGATGAAGAAAGAGACTGAATAGTTTCAAGGGCCTAAAGATAATGTAGTGCATGCTTATAACAAAAAGGGTAAATGTTTAAGGCTCAATCTGGACATTGTGTCACAGAACAGGTCAAGAAGTACTTTACTTCTAATTTCTGTACTCCCATACCCCTTTTACACCCTGTACTGGATATTGATTCACTCAAGTCACATAGCTTTTTAGTTTGGGCACATACTAGCTCTGAAGTAGATTCTTGTGTGACCGTTCTCAGGATAACATCTTCTGGTCTTTTGCTTGGCTTGTAATATTTTATGAAGCTATTTTTGCTTTTATCCATTAACTTGAATGATTAGTTTGCACAATTTACATCATGGTTAATTCTACTGCAGGAAAACAAATTCAATCGATCATCCCCATGTCCGTAATTTGGATTACAATGTGAAGAGAGAGTATACTCTTGTAAGTACATAGCTTTGTGAAGTTATTAAGTTGCATTGATGATTGATCCCTTGATTTGTCGTCCATTTGCAAATGAAATAATCTGTTTGAGTAAGTTTATGAATCTGTGAGGTATATCTGCTTTTTGCCTGTATGCATGCGTGTTAACATTACAATGTTAGGAGTTTGACACTCAAATGTGGACCCATCTTAG